GCAGTGCGAACGGACGGTTGACCCTGATCCAACCCTGACCACCACCCCACCCCCAAGACTTTCTATAGTGTTTGATTGCATATTTGATCCTAAGACCAGTCAAGCACTCTCCACTCGGCCCTCATTTCCCCTCCTAACTGTGGCCGAGAGAGAGCTACTTTGTCTGTTTCACTTTTTCCCTATTGTTTTCCCTGAAGTCATAAAAACCAACCTATCCCACAATCACGATGCTCTCAACTTTTACAATTACAACACCTTCCAACCAGGGTCAACCATCGCGTTTGCATTTTTCCAAAAGTTGTGTGATCCCCTCCTCTTAGGAGGGTCTCGATGCAACCCATCACCACCACAAATCTTAGGAGGCTCCCCATACGACCAACCCTTCTCCCTACCCCAACCCCACCTTCGCCATCATAGGTGTACCTATAGTATTTGGTTCTAACGATAAGACCAATCGACTCACTCCAACTCCGCCCACATTTCCCTCCAAAAAAAGCCGTCAACCCGGGGGGCACTGAAAAACCAAAAACCCGTATAAATGGTGACAGCTTTCAGCGACCCCTGTTGCCCCGTCTCCACTCCGCCTAAGATCATTAACCTTGCTCGACCCCAAAACGCGACCCCCTTCCCTAGTGCGAATGGACGGTTACCCTGCTTCCACCTTGGTTTCCTTCCGTGTCAACCCAGACACGACCTCCACTCATAAATCCATAAAAGATTCCCGTGTTGGCTGTTCGTAGGTGTGCAATAAGAGGTTACCGCACGACGTCGCGTGCACTTGCGATTCGAATTAGCGCACCAAACAGGCGGACTGCGGCTGTACGCGGCGTAAATTAGCTGTGCTCAAAGATGCATATTCATTTCAATGCCGTCGAGACTGAAGGCTCCACACCCATGACCTCCCCAGCAGCTACACAGTCCAGGGCTCAATATTACATACATACCCTTAGTATCCGTCGGTGAGGTGCGTGTACACTGCAGACTTCACAACGCAAGTGACGGCGCCTTTACAAGATGCGATAGTTTCTGTCAGCGAAATGATTAGCCGGTCTCAGTTTTATTCTATCAATCGTCACTGATTGCAATGGTCACCAAATATCAGCTAGCACTAAAAATCACTGACTATCAGAATTATTTGGAGGCCGTGTCATTTGTGTTGTGGGTGGGGTCTGCAGTGCAGACTTTTGTACCCACCGAACAAAAGGATATCATTTCGTCTGTCCTTCCTGATAAGACAAGCCGCACTAATCTGTACCATTTTCAGCGTGGGTTTCGTGCATCGAATAATAACCTATATTAGACGGTCTTTCGAATGACAGTGTTCATCGCCTGCTACAACCTGTTCTTCACCGCACTACCTGTGTTGGCAATGGGGGCGCTCGATCAGGACGTCGATGATGCGTACAGCTTACGGTAAGGCGACGCTATCAACCTGCTAAGGTCATAGATTATTATGCTGTTTTTGCAGATATCCAAAGCTTTATTTGCCGGGTCAATTCAATCTTTTCTTCAACATGAGAATCTTCATCTATTCTGTTCTCCATGGCATGTTTAGGTAAGTCGTGGAAGCCTTTTGAAACCAGCACTGAACCGTTGCCATATTCACACCAAGCAACAGCTTGTTTTACAGCTCGTTGGTGATCTTCTTCATTCCGTACGGAGCGCTCCTGAGTAGCGCTGCTTACAACGGGAAGGACCTGGACGACTACTCGACGCTGGCGTTCACCACTTTTACAGCGCTGATCGTCGTCGTCACTGGACAGATCGCGTTTGACACCACCTACTGGACCGCGATCAGTCACTTCGTCATCTGGGGATCGCTCATCTTTTACTTCCTGCTCGCCTTTCTCATCTATGAAGGTAACGCTTCGACTCTGCTCCTTTTTCTCTGGAGAACTTTTTCCGAGATCTGTATCGGTACCTATTGCGTACATAAATAACTGTGAGCAGTACTAGGCTTGGTTAGCTTATTGGGGACATGAAAACGCCAACTTGAAACCGTGGGCCATGATCGGGGTAAGCCAAGGGTGAGGCCCATCGATAACATGATTCTTATTGTTATATAGGCGTCTACGCGATTGTAACGTGTGAATATGACCAGGGGCTTCTCGGAAATGCGAGCAGGTTCAAAACAGGTCGCAGGGATTTTTGTGGAGATTTCAAGTATTCAGAATTGTTAGGAAAGGCGAAGAAGTCCAATAACAATAGTGTAAAGTATGCTATACGAGCCCATAGATCCTTAAAGGAAGAGATTCCGAGGCTGGACGGTTTTCATGACTCATTCATACATTCATACGGGAGAGTTCTTTAACCCATAACGGACGGCCAGTGTATTTTTCGCGTGCGCCACCATGTGGCGCACGCCGCCACCCAGGGTAGGGTTTATGTAGGCTTATGTGAACAGCAGGGGTAAGACGGGGCTAAAGTAGGTGTCGGAGTCTCATCATCCGAAAAAAGAGATTTCCGTTGACGAACGTAATAATTTGCACCCCTACGATTTAGAGCGGACAAGTCGACGACAAGTTCGTAGCCCGCCTTTCCGCTCTAAAACTAGGGTGCAAAGAATGAATGGAAGCTGTAGGTGACATTATCGAAAAATGCGAAACAACAACCCCGAGCAAGGATGTGGCTATATTTAGGGGAAGGGGTCTCGGGACGTGCGAACCATGGGTAAGCCACCCATCAAATAGTAAACTTATGTAAATTAAGACAAAATGTATGTAAAATTTATTGTAGGTTTGTCAAAAATCCAGCCGTCCAGGTCCTGGGAAGATATGTTATTCCACATTGCTGAGAGTATATATGGGTATATTAAGATTGCTAGAAACATTCCAAAAACAAAAGAAATAGTCGTGCGCCACCTTGTGGCGCACGCCGTCCGTTATGGGTTAAGGCACAGTCCTCAGGATCACATGGTGGCTTGAAACCCCGAAATGCGAAGTATCGTGCGAAATGTCGCAAGTAGCCGAAAAAGAAGAATCCGTCGTAAAAACGCTTAGGTTAAGGGCTCACTCACCTTCCTAAATCGGCTGTGCTAAGGGAATGAGAGACTAAGCGCGGAGAGGAGAGTATGGGGCGAGAGAGCGCTACAGATGAGAGATCGCCAGACAACACTGATAAGAGAAAAAAACTGCAGCTTCAGCAGCTTACTTTGCAAGGCCCAAGCGCTCTTGTTCGGTTGGTTTCCCGCACGGGAACGCCTATAGTTGATTGCCTCTATGTCTGTAGCGCAAACGGATGAATTTCACAACGACCTCTACCAAATTGTGCCTTTGCGTCGCAAGCCATAAGCCAGCAGGTGGCGTGTTTGTAGTCCGCCAGCTCATTCGATCACTGTCTTACGACTCCATCACTTTTGAAGTTCACGTGCATTCTTTGCTAACTTGTAGGGCGGAGTGAGGTGGTAGTTGCAGTGTGTAGTGCTACCAACGCATTGAGGATCGGAGTTCTGGGTCATGTGTCGCTCACAACCAAGCCATTCATCATGCGGAGTTTGTTAATTAGCTACAGACCTTTTTCGGATCAACACTGACTTGTACATGCCGCTGCCACCAAGCGTGTGTTAGGACAATCGAATCAAGTGTCACTAAAAGAAGGAACAAGTGGAAAGTAGGAATGCGTGCCGCATCCCAAAAAAAGATTTCAACGGCAAATTCTTCATCCTTTTATTATACGTGGTGATACAGCAGCACGATATGTTAATTTTTCGTTAAGTAGGAGCAGCAATGGTCACCAATAGGGGGATATTTTCGGTTTTTAATACAAACTATGCTTATTAAAGAACTATAATGCCTGGAATGTGCAGCTAGCCTTTACTGAGAAGTCCTTTGCCGAGTTATCTCTTTTTTAATTGCCCTACCTATTTCGTCCTTTTTCAGGTCTTCCCGTAACGTTGCTCGCCAAGACTTCATCTACCGTCTCTTACGGTGTTGCCTTCAAGACAATGGCCACTCCTCAATTCTGGTTCTCCATACTCATGGTAAGCTGTTCACAGTGATCAGGCCTTCCGAACTGATCCAAAGCCGAGCTTAGGGTGATCTTACAGTTCTTCCAATCCTTAAAACTATCGCCTTTAGGTGACGGTGATTCTTCTGCTACCGGTGATGTTGAACCGATTCTTCTGGTTCGACACACATCCGTCATTCGCAGATCGATTGCGTGTGCGAAAGAAGCTCGGCAAGAAGTTCCCCCAGCCCAAAGAAGAGGAGGAGAAGTGAGAGCGTTAAATGTACGAATGATGTCATTAAACTGAAAAACGATTTCGAAATTCCAGGCCGGCGTTCAAGAGATCCGCTGCGACGCGTCGCAGCGTACGCGGTTCGTTGCGATCCGGCTACGCGTTCTCGCATTCGCAAGGTTTTGGAGATCTCATCCTCAAGGGAAAACTCTTCAAAAACGTCGAGCAAATGCGCACCAAAAACAATGGGTACTGTAGCAATTTCTTCTGTTGAATCTGGATTTAAAATCACCTAATAATTGGATGAAATTACAGAGGACGTTCGCCACGACCTGTCCTTGCTACTGTCAACGGTACACCGGCTATGCTCACTCCAGTGCCATCACAACCTGAGGTACTTGGGATTGTTGTAAAGGGTTGAGAGTATCATCCCGCTTCAGGAATTTTTGAATATCGGTGATTTGCATTCGTTCCAAAGTGTTTTGTTGGACAAAATTTGAAGCTTTCCCCTTCTCGAGGTGCTGCTCGGGTAGGACAGATTCCATGAAATGAACTCTTGTTCTTTGAAGCTTTAGGTGTCGCCCAGTTCGGCCGGATTGCCTGTGATGACTTTGCCGCCTCAACCAGCGGTGGCGGTCACCTTCCTGCCCCATACGTTGACCGTCAACGATGACGAATGGTGAGTGTACTGTCTGGAAAATAATTTTGCTGGTTCGGGCGAAGGCTATCGCCAGACTTTCACAGCGCGTTTAAAAGTAGGCACTGCTTCGCTAAATAAGTAATTCCCGAATCGTCGTGGTAGTTAGTAAGCATCGTCCACGAAGCGTGCAGTTAGTGTTTCCATATGAGCTCGCTAGTTTAGGTAATTCTCGGCATTTTCGAAGGAAAAAACTTTAACAGAGAAATTCCATATCTCGTCAACGTGGCCGTTGTCTGAGTCAGACGACGGGGAGCTTGTTGTAAAATTTTGAGAGGGGGGAAGAAATTTGATAAAATAGGATGGCGTATTTGGATAATTTTCGTGGACGATGCCCTTAGTAAGGTTAGTAGTTCAATCGTAATGTAGTGTGTGATCTCAACCAGAATCTAATCAGCGATCAACACGTGATGTGAAAATCGACACGCGCCTTTACTCACGCGTCTTAGAGCTTACTGCCAAACACGGTCAAAAGATGCTTTTGAGCTTCGCTGGAGCTTGCGGTTCTGAGCAGGAGATGCACGATGATCAAGACCTTGTAATGGTCATAACATTTCAGAAGTAGTCTATATACCACTTCTAAAAAGTCAGAATGACGTTGCACGCACATGCAGGGTCGAGCGTGTGCTGCGAAATCATATTTGACCTTGTGAACGACAGGCGAGGAGATTGCGCTGCATGAACCAGTTTTAGAGTCCAAGATGGGAGTTGTCAGAAAAGATGGTGGGTTGCCCTTGGCCCGAAGGCCGGTCAGCACGAGGCCGCGGTGGGGGAGTTCCCAAAACCTAAAGTTCGCCTGGTCGGATTACGCGGTACTTCATCGTCAAGCATAGGGGATAGGCAGTTCCAAGAGATGCAGTTTTTGGAGACCCATGTTCCGGTCCAGCCCTTGTACATACCTGTCCCAGATGCACGGCGCATAATCTGGATCGGTGCCGCAATCTGTACGTCCTGACCCACAGCGCCATCCTGCTTCCTGCTCAATGTTTCAGAGTAGGGATGATGTTGCACTTATGAAAGGAATAAAGATAAAAACGATAAAGATAAACATTTCCCGTTGATCAGTCCCTTTTTGAATGGGCGATCATGCGCATTTCTACTCCCATTTACATTCGTGCAGTGGCATGGATTGTGGCCTATACAATGACTTGCGGGGGCCAGCCGATGTTCAAGTCAGTTTTTTTATCCTCCCAGACAAGTCTGGTACCAATTAACCGACCCCGGAGGGATGGAAGGCTTGGTTGGCCCGGGCGACTCACGACCCAGGATTTGATCCCCGGACCGCTCGCGTGGTAAGCGCGCCACTTGTCACTACACCACTTCCGCCCATTACACCACATCAGACTAGTAAACAAAATTCCTCACGCCACGCTCGACCCTACATAAATGTTTCTCGATTGCTTCTGTCAATGCAGCACGAAAATGTGAGCATGAGTAGGAACTTCTCTATAATGAATGCATCCTTCTTTTCCCTCTTCGCTCTTACTACTTCAGAGTGCTCAGAAATAGACAGCTTTGATCATCAACTCTTAGACAGACCCCGTTACTGACCCTGCGGTACTTTCTGGCCAGCTGTTTAAACTCAGCTGTGACTTTAACAGCCAACTTTGAGACGGCAGGGCCGATTTATCGGAACCCTCTAACCCTTGACACTATTACGATATCAACGGAATAAACAAACTCTTGAAAAATCACTTAAAGGGCTTAAGCCATCCGGGTCCCACTGTGGGTTGACGATCATTGCTCATGTTTCTGAGCGCCACCTGTCTGCGAATGTATGTAGTAGTGTTGTGGTGATCGTACAGGTCACTGGGCGGAGACGTCAACAACTTCCGAGGAACAGTTATCCGTGGAGACGACGACTCCTCGGACTCGTTCTCGAAGCGTCACCCAACAAACGATTCTCAAGCACGTCGTGGCACTCCACGAAAGGAGACGCAGGTATAAAGCTATGATGGTGTCTTTCGGCTGGCTTCAATGTGTCTGTCGTTGCTGTGCGTTTGCTTCACTTCCTCGGTTGATCTCTCGTGTGTGCGTGTGGCCCATTCAGTTGCTTGTCTCTTCATGGCTTTGTGGCCACCCTTGGTTACCTCCATGTTCACCATTGACGGTGCGATTTTTTGAACGAACTGTTAGTACAGGTCGAAGAAGACACCGATGTGATTGTTGAGCGTTTCTGAGCGTGAATCTCGTCGACACGGGTCGCCGTCGGTTGTCGGCCATCACGCGCCGACGTCCGTCTCACTGCCCGTTCGTCTTCTCTTCTGATGCCATTTACACTTCGTCCCCCCCCTATCGCAATCAATTCACGTGTCCAAGCATTTCTTGCTTTTGTTTATTTGTTTGTTACTGTTATCAAATATCTGTGCTCAAATTCCTATTGTTTTGCTCGTTGTATTGCTTTCCTACATATGATGGGCCATACATGGCCCTCTTTTTGCCTCCTCGTTCCGGTGACGAAAACCCATCAGTCTCTTTCATATGTTGTGATCCTCTAGTAATTTATGGCTTAGCTATGGTGTATCGAAACGCTGAGCTGTACTTGTCATCCATCTGTGATATTTTTGGGTCTAGGAGTGCCGTACCATTTGTATATTGATTGAATTAAAAATTGTATTTTATATCAACAATGATAAATTATTTATATTACCAAAAGGAGTTTCATTCCAACTTTAAAGGCAATGCGCTCGGCTTGCGCACTACCGCCTAACAGACCCCAACGGAAAAATGTATTTAATAATAGGAAAAAGAAGGAGTTCGATGTCGTCACTTCATTTTTTGTATACGCCACGCATTCGACTTCTGTTCAGATTCGTAAGGCCATTCGAATATAACTTCCGTGAATAATGGAGAATTTGTTGCCCAAGGGGACGAGGGGCTCACTCGACTTGAACGGGATTCAATCCGAGATTTGGCGTCCGATTCATGCAAATGGTAAGTGGACCCACCTGCTCATAAGTATAGCACGTTTACCCCTTCGAGCGTATTTTGGTAATTGGAACACGTCGTGAGCGCAACCTGAAAAAACAGTGTGATTTGAAGGTTTGTATTCTTTGACTCCAAAAAATTTGCCAAAAGCAGAACACAAAAGTTTTCCAAAAATGAATGAAAAGGTGTTCATTTTTGGACGATACTTCGGGTAGGTGAAATTCATTAATGGTTTAGATTCCTCCTTTAAAGGCAAAGTCGGGCTCAATAAGGGGGTATGAAACTGAGTATAGAGATGCGAAGTGGAAACGGCAGCGGAGAAAAAAAGTGAGAAAAACCTGTCGACAAGGCCGTTAACAAAACCCTCTTTCCCACTAGTAGTGATGGAGGCTGGCTTGGGAAAGAGGCACGTACACAAGTTTTCTGAAGATG